TGTCATCGAGGTCTGGGTCTGGCGTACCAATCACGGCGTCATCCCCGGATCCCTCACTAAGATCATCACACGCATACATTTCTCTATAAAATTCGCTCCATCGTTGCATGACGTCCGATTTTTCTGAGAGGACGTCATTAGCTCTCGAAAGCACTTTGTTCATTCTTAAGGTCGTCGCACCACTTCGGGTCCTTCCAACCTCTGCAAATTGTTGAGTTCTTCTTTACGTTCCTAACAAGCCGTATAATTAACTTTAACCATTTTTTCTAATTATAGAATCCGGAGGGAATCTGTTTGACAAACGGCAAAATAAAATTACATTTTAGAACGCAAACCGAGGATTAATTTTCTTGTTGTGTGGACAAGTCTAACATTCAAGATAAATATCGACATTAATTTTGATATAGTTGGGTCAATCCATAGCGTACATGTAAAATATTTTGTATAAAAACAAAGACGTATTAAAAAGATAGACAGGTTACACACTAACATTATTGTATTTTAAAGTGGCGCAGGTAGTACTATATATACTATATACTATATATCTACCAAAATTCATGCAAATTATCAACAACGAGACTTTTTTCTTTGCTAAATATCAAAATTAACAAAATAATTGAAATTTCTATATTTTAAACAGCATATAACAAATTTTAACCAAAAGTAAACGCTTCATAAATTTAACGACGTCTTGAGAATTTACCTGTGAAATGTGAAATTATCAGGATTATTTCTATTATTAACATAACAATCACTCACAGAACAAATATCCATTTTGGAAAAAAGTTACTTACTAAAAATAACCACTATTACACTCTAAAAAATTACAAAATACCTAGAAGCTATTTCTTGCGTGCCGACTTGTGCCGATCTGTCATTCAATCGGTTACAGTTACAGAGTCATGAGTTTTGGTATCCTTTTCTATCTTGCATTTTTGTCATAAGGAAGTTTCTTCTCCTTTGCACACCATGTCCATCTATACACCTCCCCCCACCCCAGCCTATGAATTTAGAGTATATATAACGCAAAAAGTTGATAAATACAAATTTGTTGAAAAAAAAAAGTTTACATTTAACAAATTTGGTTTTAGTAAATTTTTCAGCTTATCATTGCATTTAATGCATTTTTAACAATGGTGCAATTATATATACGCAAGGTGCAGTTTTTTATACTGTAAGAGTACCCAATTCTAATTATTTTAAGTAATATCGACGTTATAATGTGAAAGAACTAATTTTTATTTCTAAACTACATGGGTGCAGTTTAAGTAATTCATATTTTTGAGATGTGCTATTTAAAATACGTCTGCCAGTATTTTTTTATATATATACTCCAAATTATTAGGCTCGGGTGGGGGGTCTGATATTCTGTGTCTCCCATACACTCCTATAGTAATATATGAGTTTATACTCCATGTATAAGATATACCTACTTATAAATAATGGTGTCACTGAGTAAAAGTATTCTGTGGTCTTTGTAGGACAGTTACTATACTCTTTGGGTCTGTCAAGGAGGTTATAATATAATTTAGGGAGTGAGCGCTTAGAACTAAGGGTATTAGTGTTCTGTGCTTAGAACATTGTAACCGTTCCTAATTTTTCTTAGAAAGAGAGGCACAGAGTTTGGTATTTTATCTCTCTCTAACATTGATAAATATTTGCACAAAATAAAAACATTACCAACGTTTAGACAGTTATTGACATAAAGTAATATTTTAGACGTATGATAGAACGATAATCTTACATTTTTTATCGTTAATCATAGTTGATATATTCCATATTGTATTTTAATTAAGCTTATTATTAAGTAACATGAAAAAAAAACACTAAAACATTTTAATGTATGAAATTTATGACTCCAAATGTCAAACAATTAAATTCTAATGTAATTTTAAATGGAGAGAAACTGAGTCTTGTAGATACCACTATTTTTCTTGGAATCACATTAGATGCCAAGATTCAATGGAGCCCCCATATATCAAAATTAGCAAGCAGACTAAGTTCTGCAGCATATGCTGTGAAAAAGTTTAGAAGTCTTACCAGTGTTGAAATAGCTAGACTAGTTTACTTTAGCTATTTCCATAGCATAATATCGTATGGTATTTTGCTATGGGGACACGCAGCTGACACTGAAATTATATTTGTTTTACAAAAGAGAGCCATAAGAGCAATTTATGATTTAAAGCCTAAATAGTCGCTGCGACAAAAATTTAAGGAAATTAATATATTAACTTTGGCCTCTCAATACATTTATGAAAATATAATGTACGTACACAAAAATAAAAGTAGTTTTACAAAAATAAGTGATATTCATTCTATAAATACTAGGAACAGACACAAGCTAGTAGTACCAGTTACTAGACTCTATCGAGTCAGTAATTCATTCTTTGAGCGATGTATACGCTTTTACAACAAAATTCTAGAATTGGTACAAAATTTGACCTGCTCAAAGTTCAAAAACTTTAATAAACTAAATTTGTATGAAAAGGGTTATTATAATATTAAAGAATTTATGGATGATAATAACCCCTGGAAATGAGGTGATCGCTACCAAGCTTTTTCTAATTTGTTGTGTTATTAATATATGTAACATACATTTTTTTTATAGGATAGGATGACAAACGAGCACACAGTCCACCTGATGGTAAGTGGTTGCTGTGGCCCATAGACAGCTACATTTGTCCTCGTTTGCGAATCAAAATGCAGATGCGTTGTCACCCCTGAGGGCTAAGATGGAATGCCTCTTTTCCAGTAAAACGGGTCTCCGGTTCTCTACACTCACCATACGAAACACAGCAGTGTTGAGCTGCTATTTGACGCCGGTATTCTGTGAGTGCGTGGTCCTTCCCCGGTCGAGCCGACCCATTTGTGCTACAACTATACTATTTATATAGCTGCAGCATGGCTCTACCACGTAGAAAACGCCATGTGCTAATCATTTGCTAAATCTATGTGGAGTGCACTCACTAAGGGAGCGTTAATTAAAGTTTAACTTTTTTCGTAACAGTAGAAAGAGTTTACATCTGTAAAACCGAACCGATGATGAAAAGAACCTTTTTTTCATCATCCACACGTCAATGGGAAACTTTAATAAAACGTGTAGGCGTTTGCGTTAAAAGACTCTCAGAGACAAAATGAATTGCTCATCATGACGTTGTTAAACCACTGCAGAATAATTTTAAAAAAAACTAGTATAAACACTCGAAGATATATATGATCACAGCACCAACAGAAAAAAACGTCGATACAAAAGAAGCAGTATCTACACTCTTACCAGCTTTGTGTGACTTAAGTGTTTTATGCTATCTTTCCATTTGGTACAAAATCCTAATAGAAGTTAGTCAGACACAAAAGCAAATATTAAATAATATAATAATAATCTAGATTATCACTGGAAAAGTATCAGATAAAAATCAAAGCCCAAAAATTTTTCTTCAAAACCAACGTATTTAACTAGTGGAAAAAGCTATTTCATTCGTAACAAAAAATGTGATAATGTGGACATTTCGGTTGAAGGAAGAAGAGGAATGACGAAATTTTGAAAACGTTTACCAGGAGAAATGAGCCGATATGCTTGACTAAAATTGCCAGAAGAGCTGCAGAGAGCTATGTTAGAATGTCTTGAGAGATTTTACGAGGAACTAGACTATCGCTACTGAGCAATGGATGATATTCTCGTAACATTTAGTGTTGTTCAGCCTTACACTCTGCTAACGTCATCAGATGAAGATCTTCAAATAATACTTCAAAATCTGACAAAAATCTACGATGATTTTACCGCAGGATACATAATTTTGGAGACTTCACCACTTGAAAGCTGCCAGCATTTCTTCCCAAGAAGCGGTTCAATGTAACTCATTGGAGCTTTTCTCGTAAAATTAGGCTATTCTGAATCTGTTCCGAATCTAACGCTGTGTCTAAGATTTTTTTTACTATTAAGTTTCATGTGAATGAAGCTTTTCAAAACCCAAGTTAATAAAATCTAACTTCAGGTCCACAATGAGCCAAGCGGGACTAACCAATCTTTCCATTTTATCTATCGAAAATGACAAGAAAGTAAACTTTGATAATATATTAGAATATTTTAGCAAAATACAGTCCCTTTAGCTAAGGTTTGATACTGTAGCGAGGCAATAATGTAATCAAAATATTAAACGGTGTTTAATTATAGCACTATTTAGCACTTTCCATATTGAAAACAATACTCATTTCGTTTTCCGTGATGCTGTATACACTAATAATATTCTCAAAATATTGTATCATGAACACTCTATTAGAAAGAAATGCAACGCCTAACTCGGTGCCTTTCATTCATTTCAAGGTCACTGATTTAGGAACGTTTCTCTAGTATGAAGTGCGCACTCTATATTTTACAACCTCCTTGGGGTCTGTTGTATATCCCATAGATAATATACTATAAAATAGGGGAGTATCACAGACTAACATGATGGGCACTGGGCAGTATATCCTCTTAGTAGTCTGTGGCATAAGAGTGTACTGTGGAGAAAAGAAATATTTTGGAAAATAGCTTGCTACATATATATTTATCTATGAAATAAAGTGATCTTTGGTGATCTTCCTATTTCGATTTATGAAAAAACAATATTAGAACAGTAATAACTCTTTAGTATTGAATTATTCTGATAGTACCTGTTTACTATGCTTAATATAAGCCCGATAAAACTTAAATATCTTACTTACACCTGACCTTAAATAACTATATGAGAAACAACATGGTAATGTAACAAACTTGTCGAAAATTATCGAGCTGCGATGCTTTTTATGTACCTATTATTAATAAATTATATATTTATTTGTAAACCATTATTGCTTATTGCAGGTTGCAGTGATAATTCTACAAATACTCTTTATGAAACTATTTTCATGAGCACTATGTTGCATAGATATATTGAAAAAAAAATATTGTACATATATTGTATACCCTTGCGTGGTGATAAAAAGGTTTATGTCTTGGAATATAGTGTACCACATTTTGTCCAATGGGCCATTGTCTAAGTTGTTTCAAAAACCAAACCAATGCTGATGTAACTATGTCTCAAAGAAAAAATGATGGTAAGTATTTCTTATCTTCCAAACATTATATATTTGGTACAATATTAATCAATATTTGGAAAAGAAATCTTTGTTGTGAACTTCCCATTTGAAATCTGATGGCCCTTTGAATGAAAGTCTGAAACATTTTGAAGCACATAACTAATAATTCTATTGATTATTAAAAGATGCTATGTGCATGTAATGTTAGTAATAATGTATGTACACGTAAAGTCTTAATATTATAATAGTATTTTTTTCTCAAGAAACAATTTATTGCTCAATGAATACCTGATTAAGTTTTCTTTAAAATTAGCTGTATTTATTTTTTAAATCAACATAAATTAAATGCATAAAAGTCAAAGTTGCAAAAATGGTAAAACAAATTCATACCCACACCTTGGAAAGTACTTATTATCTTTAAATATATTCATTGTAATAGAAAGGTTGTTATATGTTAATTAGCAATGTATTGCAGCACAAATTAAGATTCTTTTTAATTACTTGATCTTATTAATTACTAAATTTGTTAATATATCACATGATGGGTTTGTTGTATTTCAGATATTACTGAAATTGTGACTACAAGTCAAGTGCCTACTGTCATGATATCTGACTACCCTCAGGAAGAACCTCTTCTTCATAACAATGAAAATAGCCTTAACTCTTACAGGAACATACAAAATGCAAATACTTTGAATTCTTACAATGACCCTTGTACTGGGGAGTTAACAGTTTCACAAAAGTCACATAATATAAATTCGGAAAAAACAATAAAACCATTTTATCAAAAATTGCCTTCAATTCCTAGAACTATGTCATCTTTTAGTTCAAATGAACTGAGAATATCTGAAACAAAAATAAATCAGTTGTTCGATTTATATAAAGATTCATTGGAAGATGCAATTTTGGCTGAAGGAATAGAAAATCTTTGTAATGACTTGCAATTAAATCCAGATGATTTTAAAGTATTAGTCCTTGCTTGGAAGTTAAATGCTAGTCAAATGTGTAGATTTACAAGGCAGGAATTTGTACAGGGCTTGAAAAATCTAAAAACAGATTCTATTAAAGGCATACAACATAAATTAAATGAAATTACAAGTGATTTGAAGAGGGACTCTGAAAATTTTAAAGATTTATATAGATTTACATTTAAATTTGGCTTGGATGTTAGTATAGGACAAAGGATACTTCCATCTGACATTGCTGTGTTATTATGGCGACTAGTCTTTACAAATAATGAACCGCCTATATTAGATAAATGGTTAAAGTATCTTGAGAAAAATCCACACATAAGGGGCATACCAAAAGATACTTGGTATATGTTTTTAAATTTTTGTGACTATGTTGGAGATGACCTGAGCAGCTATGATGATACAGAAGCCTGGCCAAGTTTGTTCGATGATTTTGTAGAGTATGAAAATGATCAAATGAATCAAAATGTTACAAAGAGTGACATGAAAATGCAGGATTAAAATCCATTGTTTGCCAAATTTTAGTTACTGTAGGTACTTAATAAATGGGTATTGAGACTGATAATTTGATAATGATTGTAATATCAAAGCTAAGCAGGAGATAGGATATAATATAATCCTAATATAAACCTAAGGGAGGTTTCAAAATGTAAATATTATGTTATTATATTTTGTAATTAAAGATTTGTAAAACTGTATGCTTACATAAGTCTTAGTCTTATGAATTTACCTACTAATGACATTCCAGTAATGGAATAGGCCAAAATCTGTATATTTTATGTTCTGTATTACAAGTGAATTTCATGGACTGTTGAATAGTCATATATTTTAGCATAACCTATTTATGAATAATTTTTGGTCACATCTTAAACTCAAATTCTTAACACTTGCTCTTGCACCATCCAAATATGCCTGAAATGCATAATACAAAACTAATTATATAAAATAGTATATTAAAAACTTACACTGATGTTGTCTTTTTCTCTTTAACAATTAACATGTTTATATATAAAAATTACGTGTCATGTTGTTTGTCCACGATGGACTCTTAAACTACTGAACTGATTTCAATGAAATTGGCACACTGTGTGCAGTTTGACCCAACTTGAGAGATAGGATGGTTTTTATCCCGATAAGTGACGCTCAGTATTTTTTATTGCAATTTTAAATATTTTTTAGTACAGAGGTTTGCCGCTAAGGGCGTCTGTCTGGTCAGCTAGTAAACTATATTATGCATTTATCTGTCTTGTACAAAACTGATGATACATTTTGTAAAACATCAAATTTAATTATTAATAATAATAACTATTAATATAATTGTTAATAATAATAATTAAAATTGATACATGCATGAAGAATATATTTAATTTTGTAGAAGCCAATTATGACCACGACTATCAGATACTCTCTGATCCAGGTCCAGCATATTTTTAGGCGTGTTGTGGTTATTTAGGAGGTTCTTAGCCAATTCATTGGCATGTCCTAATAGTCTCTTCTTATGTCTTATAGTTTCTGTTTACTTCTTCCTTTACTGTGGACATCTTTAGGTATTCATGGGTTTTAGAGTTCCTTGTGAATCCCCCTGTGCCTTATGTTGATTGTAAGGCTATATTTTGGAATCTCCGTAGGATCTGTAGGTTGGAGTTATTGGTTACCCATAGTTGTATACAATAAGTCCATACTGGTTTTTTGATTGCTTTATAAACCAGTAGTTTTTTGTTAGGAGATAGCTGTGATTTCCTTCCCATTAGCCAAGAGGTCTTATATAAGTTGCCTCTTTTTTCTTTGCCTTGATGTGGTTGGCCCATGTTAATCTTCGGTCTATATGTCTATATGTTTTGCTTTCATATATACTGGTGTAGGTACCTTCTCCTTTTCTTAGAATGAAGGTTGCCTGCACAGATTTGCTTACACTAGGCTTTATTCTCCATTTTTGAAGCCATAGTTCTATTTTACTAATTTGTGTAAAAAATCTAAAAACAGATTCTATTATTAATCTTACAAAAGCAACGTCCGGGACTTTGTCACTTGCAAGACTTGCAGTGTCATCTGCATAGGTTGCTGTCGTTATATCTTCAGTGTTTGGCAGATCTAACGTATATATGGCGTACAGTACTGGGCCAAGTACTAATCCTTGCGGGACAGAAGCAGCGATGTCGTACAGGTTAGAATAATCGTGTTCGTATTTCACTTGAAACTTTCTTTGGTGGAGGTATGATTTCATGATCATGAAGAACGAACAGTAGTCCCTTGTGCCATACTCTGTCAAACGCTTGTTAAAATACTAAGAACACTGCTGAGCAATATTCTTCTTTCTCTAAGGACTGTCTGATTATGTGTACCGCTCTATGTATACTGTAGAATGATTCTCTTTAAACCCGAATTGGTGGTTGGGAATTATTTTGTTCTCTAATATTGGCTTTAGTCTTTGTAAGAATATCTTTTCGAACACTGGATTAAGTTGGGAGGACTTATCGGTCTATATGAACTAGGATCAGTTGGAGGTTTCCCTGGTTTAGCCATCATACGCATCTGTGATATTCTCCACATCTTAGGAAAATAGTGAGTTCTAACAGTAGCATTTGCAAGCATTGTCAGAAAAGCTATTGGTTTTTTAGTAAGTCGTCGTCACATTTTAAGATCCCATCATTGGAAACGAGAAGAAAAATTATTGATTTATTGTTTTTAAAGAAATTAGTGACTGGATTTTTGGACTGTCCCGATCTTCTTAGTAAGATAAATTTTAATGTACTGCATCGGTTGCCTAGATCCTGTAATAGCAAATTAATTGTTGCACCTCAAGGTCGAACTAATTTAGGATCACATTGTTCCTTAACAAGAATGTTTGCATTATATAAAGAATACCAAAGCAGAATAGATCTAATCTCAACCTCGATGACTGGTATGAAAAAAGTAGTAATCGGCGATTAAGGCTATATTCTAATGGAAGTTTCTTCGTTATTAATTTAAATTAAAATTTTATTAGAGTTAAATTGTACCTATGCACTGTTGTAAAATCAACATAAAGTCTCTTTTTTATGCATGTGCTGCCTCTTGTAAGTAATGGGACATTTAGTTTTAATAATTGTGATGTCATTCCATATGTATGTAACAGTGTACTCATTGTTGTGAGAGCCTAATAAAATAAATAAATAAATAAGTCGAATGTCTCGCCAGTGATAAGGCAGAATCTAGGTGCTTTTTTGTTTTTAGATTATTTATGGTACGTTTCATCTATCGCGGTGTCAATGTTTTAATTGGTAGTGAGAGTTGTTGATCACTATTGATAATATTATCCAACTCTTTCTCAACTTCAACCATTGTAGATAGGTTGAGAGTAAAAATATTTATGAGGTGTTGCAAAGGCTGCGAAGACCTCAGTTTTCTGATTTGGCTTCTTAGCCCTAGTTACTGTGGAAGGTTTTAGTGGGGGTATAGAATTAAGTGGTCTTTTGAAATTCTTGGTAATTTTACAAAGACAATTATTTACCTTTGTTCTCAGCCGATAGTGTAGACAGTTTCTGTTTAGAAGTAGCATTCCTGTTCTCAATGACCATGTCCTTCAGTTCTCTAGAGATCCTTTTTTTTGTGGGATACCTTACGCTACGGGGACAACGAAAAGGTTATGCCGGACTCCTACCGGCTAACACCCTACGGTGGTCACCATCGGCATATATGAGGGGTCCCGGGATCTCTGTTCGGAACGCAATCGGGGCCTCTTCTCACTTTGCTTAATTAAAGCAGCACAGTACTCTCGCAGTGCTATCTCGATGTCTCGGGACCACTTCCGAGACATTGTGATAGTGATAAGATAGTGGCCCTCCACGCCGAAGTCCCGCTCAGCATTCCCAACACGACTGCTTGCCGAGAGGGAGAGGTTCCGTCCGATATGGCTCACCAGGATCGTCTGCTCCCGATCCCACGCTGGACATACCGCCAGCGTATGAGACGCGGAATCCTGATCCTGTTCAAGGCAGTGGAAGCAATTCGCCGTTGCCTCGAGTCTGATCTTACACAGATAAACACCGAAGCACCCGTGCACGATAATTATCTGTAGGTGAGTCTTCCTACTCGTCGTTGCATCCAGGCTTCGAAGACCGGCAGGATTGCATCAATGACGCGTTTGCGTTCATAGCGTTCCTCAAGTCGAGTGCGCCATGTCGCCAAAGCGTTTTGCTGTTCCTGCCGTTTAATTGATTCGAACGCTTCTTCTGGCTCACTAACACCGCTCTGGCGGAGGGCACGGATCCGGTCGTATACTCTTGCGACAAAGTCCGCCAGTATGTCCAGAGGTATAAAGCGAACCAGGTTTTTCGCCGCCTCAAAGGATGTGGTGCGGTACCCTCGTACGATCCGTATGGCCATCCTCCGCTGGACACTGCAGATTTTAGGTCTACAGCGTCGGATAGCCAGCATTATTGCCATCATATCATATAACTCCCGCATAGAGGCGATACTCTTCCTCAGTCGGTCCCCCTAGATTGGGCAGCGGTCTATGCATAGCAGATAGATCCGGGGGACTAGGCGTTCGAAATGTTCTTGGTTCATTGGAAGCCCCAGCGACTGTCCAGGTGGAGGCCTAGGTACTTTATGTACCTCCCCACTGTAACTTCACACCCACACACGAGTCGGGTGGTTTCCCTGCCCTGTGGTAATTTATGAAACCATAGGGCCTCGGTCTTGTGAGGTGCTATTTCTAATCCCAACTTGTGGATTTTGGCGTAAACGACTTATGCCCCGAGTTTGGCGAGCTCCTTGACCCTCTCGAAAGTGATCCCACTAGCGATCACCAATGTGTTGTCGTCATAGCAGACTATATCTACACCAGCGGGAAGATTGATTCGCAGAACTGCATTATAGTTTGATTTCCCTCCGGATCTTCTTTCCTTGATCGGATTATACCTGTCGCGCAAGTAGTCCCCTATAATATCCTGCAGGTAAAGAGGCACCTGATGAAGTGCCAGTGCCCTCCTGATTGCGTCCCAAGGTAGGGAGTTAAAGGCGTGAACGATATCAAAACTTATCGCCAAAGCCCGCCACCCTGGGATACACGTGTGCTTACGGACCCCTGGTTCATTAATCGGACCAGCTCTCCATTCCAGCACTGTCTCTCCCTTCGGATCGTCTCTGAAATTGCCCCAAGCTCTGGCGTAGGCGTTAAAAGCTCCTAGATCGATCAACGGACGAGGTTGACATTCGCGAACACAGTTCGCCACCTCGTTTGGGTACGCCCTGTAGTCGGAAACAGACCTATTGGTAGTGACATAACAGCCCACTATGGGGGTCCCATTGCATTGTAACGAAGCCAGCCCTGCCCCCTTTTCAATAGGGCGCAGGGTGGGGCCTTTTCTGCAACCCCCCCCTCTCCCCCACCCCTCCCCAGTAGATGGCTACAGAGCCCAATTCATCATCGAACTAGCGGGGATGGTCGGGGACGGAATAGACGGCTCCGCTACTACTGAAAGGGCAACCCGTCACTCCACAATGGTCTGCATAAGCAG